TCACTGGTGCAGCCACGGTCGCTGGTGCCTCCTCCATCCAGCCCAGGCGGTTAGCGACTGGAGGGTCCATTCCCCGCCAGACTTTGCAGGCTCATGGCTCTCCTCCCTGCTCTTCAGCCCTTTATTCCCCTACTGCCCCTGCCTCTCCCTATAAACCACCTTATCTCCTTCCTGTCTCCTCCACACACCCTCCTGCTGGCCACACCAGCTCCCTGCCCACCTCCTTCGGAGACTGCCCCAAGCCCCATCTCTCCCTGGCTTCCTCTGCCCAGTGTATGCGGCTGAAGGGCGCTGTCTGTTTGCCCCATGCCCGGCCGGTGAAGCGAGCGCCGGGCGCCCTGACAGGGCTCCATGCATAGTAACCATGATCCTCAGACACACCCAGTGGCGTCCCCAAGAACTGGGGAGGGGATGAGCAGGAGGAGGCCGGGGAAACCCCGCAGTCCCCTGGAACTGGAGGCAGCCTCTTGACAAGCGCCGGACGTGGAGAGGGAAGGCTAAGCCCAGCATCCAGCATCTACCAATGCCCCAGGCCCAATTTGGGCTCAGAGGAGGGAGAACGCGGTGCCGTAACCCTTTCCCACCTTGCAGAGACCGGAGGCACGTCCCGCCTTCCGGCCTGGGCTTTGGGGGGCTTGGCGCCTCGCTGGGGTGCTATGCCAGGGAGGGGACGTAGCGGGGGTATGGCCTCGCCCCAGATTGGGACACTCCCTGCAGTCTGCCTGGCTCTGCCTCAGCCTGCCACCTGGGCTGGTCACCCTGGCATCAGGCAGCTCACAGCCGGGAGGAGCTAGGCACATCCTGGCATGGAGCTGGGCATGAGATCCCAGCTGCCGGGGCGGGGAAGGCAGGAGGCTGCCGGCCTCCCACAGGAGAAGGCCTGGCCAGCACCAGCATGTTCAGTAGCTGGCAGGCCTCAGGGGGAGCAAAGATGGGAGCCCGGTTTTCCCACGAGCTGCTATCATAATCAGGAGTGCTGACCAGCACCCGGTGACTAAGGGGTTAACTAATGTCTCCTGTAGCTAGCCAGGTATCGGGTGGTCAGCCAATAGCAATGCAGGTAGGAATTTCAAACTGGAAGAGGCGTTCTTCTCTGTTCGAGATTCAGAGCAGTTTCTTCCAAGACTGAGGGAGATGGGGGACACTTCTCTCGCCAAGACCAGACTTCTTACAATGCGTAAGCAGGGAAAAGCTGAGAGAGTCTGTCTGGATTTGTTGTTTTCCTTGTTTGGGGATCTGGAAATAATGGCTGAGCTTGATACGTGGTTTTTTTTTTCTTTGTGACTAAGTTTTTGCCCAGGAGGTTTCCCTGAGAATCTTTATCAATTGGTGGCTCTTTCTATCTAGCCCATGGGTTCCCAAACTGAGGGGCATGTCCCCCTGGGGGGGTGTGAAGAAATTCCAGGGGGGTGCAAGGCAATCCAGCTCTCTGCCCTGTCTTTCCCCCCCATATGTTTTGCTGCTATTTTTGTTTTTTGGCCCCGGTCAGTTCCTTTTTTTTTTGCTCAACAAGTTTTGCTGCTATTTTGGGGGGGAGGGGTCTCAAAAATCAAAAAGGGGGCATGATACTGAAAAGTTTGGGAACCACTGATCTAGCCACTTTACTCTGCTTGCAACGGTAGCTTTGTTTTGTGGTGATAATAAAGGTTTGTTGTCTTTTCTAATTAACCGGAATTGGTGGATTGTTGTGTCCTTACGACTCAGTGCCTAGTTACAAGGGCGGAGTTCATTGTTGTCTGTAAATCCCCTCTGTTTTGCCCAGCTCCAAGCAAAACGGAGGTTGCGGGATGGGGAGAGTTTTACCGTAGGGAGGAGATTTCCCAAGTGATCTCTTCCCTGGTTTTCTTGGAATTACTTGGGTGGTGGCAGCGGTTTCCCCAAAATCTGGGTATTAGGATTTTTGGGGGGAGGAGTTTTTATACCAGAGGTTTTAGAGTGCTCTTGTGGGCCCCCACTTCTGCATTCATCGTGCCAGAGTAGGGAACAGCCTTGACAGCTGCTGTGAAGGCGCAGGACTGTCGATCTGGCTCCGGTCACCAGCCTGGGAATCCACGCACAGGTCAGCAGCTCTTCTATGGACCCGGAGAGCAACAAGGCTGCTCTGTACTCCACTGTGCCAGACCTGTGTATTTAACCAGGACAAATAAACCCTCGGAGACCAGGAACCTGACTTCTATCTGTGGCGTATCCTGGGGCAACAGCCGCAGCCCTGGAGGGGATAGGAGCGGTGTTTGCCAAGGAGCTTGGGAGAAGTGACAGGGAAACAGCCCCTGGAGGCAGGACGACGGATGGAGACGGGGCAAGGAGCAAAGTCAGTCAGTGTGATCACAGTTAGCAAGGGCTGGCTTGGAGAGGGGCGGCAGCAGAAAGAGGGAAGCCAGAAGGAAGTGAAAAGAACAGAAGGGGAAAAGTCCAAGAACTCAGAGGGGCCCGAGGGAGAAGCAGCTACAGGAAATGGCACAGAGTGGTCCATGGCAGGGAAGGGTTCACCCCAAAGTTATCCTGTTCTGTTCACTCCCTCTGCGGCACCTGGCATTGGCCACTGTGGGAAGACAGGACACGGGGCTGGATAGACCTTTGGTCCGACCCATTCTGGCTGCTCTCAGGTATTTAATATTTCTTATAGGGGCCCGAGGGAGAAGCAGCTACAGGAAATGGCACAGAGTGGTCCATGGCAGGGAAGGGTTCACCCCAAAGTTATCCTGTTCTGTTCACTCCCTCTGCGGCACCTGGCATTGGCCACTGTGGGAAGACAGGACACGGGGCTGGATAGACCTTTGGTCCGACCCATTCTGGCTGCTCTCAGGTATTTAATATTTCTTATAGAGAGTGGAGGCTGGGAAGAACTGAGTCATACTTACTATTCGGGGGTTATTTACAAATAAAGGGTTAACAGAGGGTTGGCATTACAGACAGGTGTGGGATGCACTAGAGATGGTTATAAAGCAGTCTGGCGACTTGCTGGGTTCTACAGCAGTTGGTTCGCCACTCAGTAAAACAGCTAACCCTCTGTTAACTCTTGATAAACTCTTCAGTTTATAAACCCTACTGAATACACTTCTTGCCTTGTGCAATGTTACAAACCAGGTGTCATGGCTCAATTCCCCAACCTGGCACTTGGAGTGCAGATATGGGGGCTGGCTAGCAGAATAAACTCTGTAAGAGCCTTTCTGTGTAACTCCCAGCGACAAACTTGTCCAGTCTCAGTTTCCCTGAGACCCAAAAAGAAAGACGAGCGGTTTGCTGCCACCATCAAGTGTCAATAAAAAATATAAAAGAAGCCCTTTACCAGGGAAGAGGTCACTCGAATCCCCCTCCCTGAGGCAAAACTCTCCCCCTGCCCCAACCTCCGTTTTGCTTAGAGTTGAGAAAACAAACAGACGGAATCTGCAGAGAACAACAGGGCTCTGCTTCTCCCGGGTAACTTAGGCATGTAGTTTAAGGACACAAAAATCAACCAATACCAATTAATCAAAACAAAAAGAAAACACTTTTATTATCAAAATAAGACTACTGTTGCAAGCATAGTAAATGACTGGGTGTTAAAAGCCATGGAGTGAACTAGACTCAGGGGAAATTGAAGGGCTCTAATCCTTAGTTACAAAAGAGAAGAACAATTAACCAGTTCAGACATGATTTCCAAACCCCCAAACAATGAAAACAATAAAACCTGATAGACTAGCTAAACTTTTCCCTACTTACACATTTCAAGGAATCCATTCCTGGGAAAGCCCGTCTCTCCTGTTAGCTGGGGTAAAACTGCTCAGATCACAAAACAAAGGAAGAGAGGGGAAAAACCCTCTCTCGTTTTGAAATTCCTATCTGCATTTCATTGGCTGAATGCCCAAAGCCCCCTCCCTCAAGAGCATTTCCAGAGTAGCCTAACCCTTTCCTCACCTTCCAGGTAAGTCACTCTCCTTAGCAGCTCCTATTCATGACACCGTGTGACTAGGAGGCAAAACTAATCATAGAATCATAGAATCATAGGACTGGAAGGGACCTCGAGAGGTCATCGAGTCCAGCCCCCCGCCCTCAAGGCAGAACTGCTGTGTGGCATATCGTGATGGCTAGTGATATGTCACGACATAAAATCAATGTCCTTCCACTGCAATGAGCAACCTCATACCTTTCCTTCCTTCCTTCCTTTCTCATCACTGTAGTATTTTCCAGCCATCCATTCCTATTTTTATGTCTTGCCCTTAATTAAAATAAATCAATAGAACATATCTGAAAAAATGCAGAGCTAATGACATGCCTGCCAGACAGAACCAACCAAAAACCTCCTGCCTCTTTTTTGACTTTCTTTCAATCCTGCAGGCACAAAAACCTTTGTAGGTTTATGTCCATTCACTGTAAGGGCCTGTTTCCTTTCCATGGCTGTATGATGCCAGCTCCAGGGAATCATAAAGCGGCAGTAAATTAATCACCATGCAAGAAACGGGTGTTTACCCCGGGGTGGCAAGTTAGAGGTTAGACCAGCCGCTTGCAGATGGGTCGTTGGCAGCAGGCACAGAAATCACAACTTGCCACACCACCGATCGTTATCCTTCAAGGCAAAGGAGGAGTTCCATTCAGTGATGTCAGGTAGGTGAGGGGTACCCGTGTTAGTCTGGATCTGCAAAAGCGACAAGGAGTCCTGTGGCACCTTACAGACTAACAGATGTATTGGAGCATAAGCTTTCATGGGCAAAGACCTACTTCGTCAGATGCATGCCAGATGCATCCAGTGATGGTATCAGTAGGCTGTTATCCCTCAGTAGTAAAGCCAGGAATTGAACCTTGGTTACCCTAATCCATAGGCCACCTTTGCTGTCCTATGTGAGCCAGGCATTAAAGAGGGCAGGACAGGTGTTTTCATCAACTAATGCAGCGAACACAAAGACTACGAGGCAGGAAATAACCTGTCCCATGAGATCAGCGACTGTCAGGGCCCAAAGCACAGAACCAGCCCCGCTCCCCACCGATGGCCATGTAATGCCTCTTCCTCTGTTTCTTTCCAGTTGTGCTGGTCGTCGTATTTGGGATCTGCTGGGCCCCCTTCCACACCGACCGGCTCGTCTGGAGCTTCATCTCACACTGGACGGGCCCAATGCTGCACATGTTCCAGTATGTCCACATCACCTCTGGGGTCTTCTTCTACCTGAGCTCGGCCGCCAACCCCATCCTCTACAACCTGATGTCCACCCGCTTCCGGGAGATGTTCAAAGAGGTGATGTGCCGCAGGAGGCGAGGCTCCAGGAAGTACTCGCCCAGCGTCACCCGCACCACCACCCGCAGCACAGTGTGCGAGCTCCTGCCCGCCGGCAACGGGCTGCCCCTGTCCAACGTGGGGGAGGAGGACCTGGGCGCAGAGGGGGAGGACGCCATGAAGCATGAGTCGTCCTTCCCCTGAGGACACCGCCGGGGTCTCCCGGGGAGTCGGGCTGCTGGTGGGATACAGGGACCGAGCGAGGGTTGGGACGGCCGCGTCCTGTGTCAAGTCACTCACGTATGTCTCCGCTGTCGCTGTGCCGCCTGCCAGCACTGCCCTGGCATCATCTCCACCCCCACCTCCATAGGCCAGACTCGCCATGGCATGGGGCTGGCCCTAGGGGAGTGCGGGGCGTGGGACGAGCTCCACCCCATGCTCCAAACCCGGGACAACACCCCCACCGGAGGCCCTGCTCCTCCT